GTGTTGCTTCTTCGGGTTGGTTCTGATAACATCGTGTTTGTGAGGAACTGTTCGTCTACGTCCGTTTGTCTTCTCCATGGACTCGTTCTTCTTCCTTGCGGGATTTCAGGCAAGATGACCATACCCTCGAAATCACTTCTATCTTTGCTTGCTAGTTGCTCGCTCTTTTGCTTTTCCTATGCTACAATACCTACCACTTGCTATATCATGCCTCCCATATTGTTAAGCCAAGCCTCTAACCCACCTTGTCCTAGCAAACCGTTGTTTGGCTATGTTACCGCTTTGCTCAGCCCCTCTTATAGCGTTGTTAGTTGCAGGTGAAGATTGGAGTTTGTTCCTTGATGGAACATGGATATTTTGTTGGGATTTCACAATATCTCTTATTTAATTAATGCATCTATATACTTCGTAAAGGATGGAAGGCTCGGCCTTATGCCTGGTGTTTTGTTCCACTCTTGCCGCCCTAGTTTCCGTCATATCGGTGTTATGTTCCCAGTTTTGCGTTCCTTACACGGTTGGGTTATAATGGGAACCCCTTGACAGTTCGCCTTGAATAAAACTCCTCCAGCAAGGCCCAACATTGGTTTTACCATTTGCCACCTAGCCTTTTCTTTCCCTTGGGTTGGCCGGCTCAAGGGTCATCTTTATTAAACCCCCCGGGCCAGTGCTCCTCTGAGTGTTGGTCCAACCTGTCAGCTGTCGGTGGCCACCAGGCGCAACTCTGTGCTGGCCTACCGGAACCTTGGACAATCCGGTGTGCCCTTAGAAAGAGATATGTGCAGCTCCTATCGGGATTTGTCGGCACATTCGGGTGGCTTTGCTGGTTTAGTTTTACCATTGTCGAGGATGTCTTGTAACCGGGATGCCGAGTCTGATCGGATTGTCTTCGGAGAAGGAATATCCTTCGTTGACCATGAGAGACTGTGATGGGCTAAGTTGGGACACCCCTGCTGGGATTTGAACTTTTGAAAGTCATGCCCGCAGTTATGGGCAGATGGAAATTTGTTAATGTCCGATTGTAGAAAACCTGAAGTTTATCTTAATTAAAATACATCAACCGCGTGTGTAGCCCTGATGGTCTCTTCTCAGCGGGGTCCAGGAAGTGAACACGGTGTTGGAGTTATGCTTGACGTAGGTTGTTCTAGGATCACTTCTTGATCATAGTTGTTCGACCGTGCTTTGCCTTCTCTTCTCGCTCTCATTTGCGTATGTTAGCCACCATATATGCTAGTCGCTTGCTGTAGCTCCACCTCATACCTTTTACCCTACCTATAAGCTTAAATAGTCTTGATCGCGAGGGTGTGAGATTGCTGAGTCCCCGTGACTCACAGATACTTCCAAAACCAGATTGCAGGTGCCGATGAAACCGTGCAGGTGACACAACCAAGCTCAAGGAGGAGCTCGATGAAGATCTTGTCTTTTGTGTTGTTTCGTTTTAGTCGATCAGTAGTGGAGCCCAGTTGGGACAATCGGGGATCTGTGTAGCTTTTGGGGTAGTCTTCTTTTATTTTGGGTTCCGTAGTCGGACCTTGTGTGTATCTGGATGATGTAATGTTTTATTCATGTATTGTGTGAAGTGGCGATTGTAAGCCAACTGTGTATCTCTTTCCCTTATGTATTACATGGGTTGTTGTGAAGATTACCTCACTTGCGACATTGCTTTCAATGCGGTTATGCCTCTAAGTCGTGTTTCCACACGTGGGAGATATAGCCGCATCGAGGGCGTTACACTGCGTGGGCAACCCCTAGCCTTCTGTCAGCCACTGGCGGTTCCCAGTACTGGCAGTCGGTCGTCCATCTTCTCCCAGTCCTCCGCATTGGGACCTCCATCTCGGTTAGATCTGAGGCTACGACTTTGTTCTGGTTTCACCGGTGGGCCGGCGACACCCCCTTCGCGACGCGCTTCCCTGACCTCTTCTCCATCGTTGTCGACCCTTGGATCTCAGTAGAGAGGGCCCTTATTGACTTAGGGCGCTTCGCATTCCGGAGGCCATTTGGGCCTCCGGATTCTGCCGCATGGCGTGAGTTGCTTGATTGCGTCACTATCCACGAGCCAGTAGTGGGCACTGGCCCGGATCAGGTGAGGTGGCGCCTTGAGCCGTCAGGCCAATTCTCCACCAAGTCCCTCTAACAGGCCATCGCCCCCTCCACCGCACCTCCCCCCTTATGGCAGTGTGGTCCATCCGCCTACCATTGAAAATCCGGATCTTCATGTGGCAAAGGGTTCGCGGACGGACCCGTCTGGGGTCGAGGTCCGCAAACGCAATGGCCCGGGCTCTGGCCTATGCCCGCTATGCGGTGTCCTCGAAGACTCGAATCATATCTTCTTCTCTTGTGTGTCCACTCAATTTGTGTGGAGCTGCTTTAGAGAGGCGGTTCGTGGGAATTGGTGTCACACCAACTTCCCCGACCTATTTGCCGAACTCCAGAACTCCCCCCTGCCTTCTCGCCACATTAGGTGGCTTGAGATGGGAGCTATCGCTTGGACTCTCTGAATGATCCGCAATAAACTTGTGATCCAACACACTCCTCTTCGACGGGCTACTGACGCTCTTTTCAAAATGTCTGGTGACTTGCAGCTTTGGCGGCCGCTTAGCCGCCCACAGGACTGGGACGTCATCTCCGCCTTCATCGCCGACCTTCGCTCGATGGTCGTCCGACTGTAGTCGCTGCCCGTCCGCCTCCTCCGGAGCCAGACTAGACGCCTGTTGTGTGCTCCGGCGTCCTTTTTTCCTTTTTGTTTGGGCTTGTTGAGCTGTGCCCTCAGCAGAACCTTTTGTACTTCCTTTTGTGAGACTTGGGTGTGTGTTTGAACTAGTCCATGTATGTGTGCTCTTTGGCGGTTTACTTTATTTATAAAGCAGGACAAAAGCCTTTTTCGGTAAACATTTGCATGTAGGGAGGCGTTACCACTTATAGAGGATCTTCAGGTGACAAACTTGACAGTTGCTTCGGACTACCAAGGTGTGGTACTAGACTTAAACCAAGGAACAGGAGGGCTGCACTCGGCTATTATACATGAAATAATGGGACGAAGAAGCACTTTCGCTTCGGTTTCTTTCGTTTTTGAGCGTAGAAATCATAATTTCAAGGCTTACAATCTTGTTAAGTTCGCTTGTAATTTAGGGCTGGTCGGCATGTTTGGCTGGGAGTCCCTCATGACCAACATCGTGTACCTATGAACATTGGTATTATCTAATAAAGTGGCGAGATTTCTTCAAAAAAAACTAACTTGTCTAAAAAAAAGGCAAGCTGCACTAACAATAATATTACGAGCGAAAAAAAGATTCAGCCACTTCCACTCCTCGGAGGTGCATGCCACTTCCACTCGATGGGAGGTGATCCAGAGAAGATGGAGTTGCTGGCTTGCAAAAGGGCGGTGGAGCTGGCGGAGGAATTCAACATTACTAGCTTGCACATCGAGATGGATTGCCTGGAGGTGGTCCGCAAGATTCAGAATGAGGAAGCCGATCTCTCCGTGCTGGGGCCGATGATCAGAGAGGTGAAAAACATGCTGGCAAAGAAAGAAAGATGGAAGGTGACTTGGGTAAGGAGAACGGCGAATGGCACTGCGCACGGGTTGGCCAAGGAGGGGGTAACAAATAATATTAGTAAGATTTGGGTGCAAGCACCACCAGACTGTATTCTTCATATTATTTCGGCAGAAATTCCTGCCTTTCATGAATAAATAGAGACGCGGTTGATTTCAAAAAAAAAAAAAGAAAAAAAGATTCAGCCGACCTATCCGACGCAAGGGGCTGCATCATGCTCATCGGATGCATCGCGCCGAGGCGGCAGCCAAGCTCCTGCTCGGCTCGTCCGAGGCGCAAATCTTGGCAACAGCGACGCCTGTTTTCTTGCTTTTCGTGATTATGTCGAACCTGATACGATGCCCCGCGTCCGCCTATATAAGGATTCGGAGCACTGCCGCTCCATTCATTCACCGGTGCGAGACAAAGGCCTTTGATCTGTGCTTGCAATGGCGTCCGCCGGACGGTCGCTCCTCTACGGCCTGCTGGTGCTGGTGCTGGCCCTCCTCTGCGGCGGCGCTCTGGCGGCTCCGCCGAAGCGCTACCTCTCCGTCAGCCTCGACCAGGTGGTCGCCTCCAAGGCTCGAGCCCAGTGCTATGATCCCTCCTCGTTTTCAGGTATGGGTCAGAGCACTAGTATACCTGTACAAAATACACCAAAGAAAAGGTATGGAATACTACGGGTGTGAAATTACCGTAGAAACTTCTGATGCTTCGTTTAGAAAAAAAAGAGATGTTGCTGCTTTCTCGGGAGTGTGATTTTTCTACCATGCACGAGATATATCATGCATGCGTTCACCATCTGTCTTTACTTTGAGATTTGTGGCGCGTTTTCTGTTTTTTGATACATTTTGTCTTGTTTGAAAATATTATGACACATTTTAAAAGAAGAAAATCAATGAAAACGTTCGGCGACAGTATGGAATAAAACAAATTTTGTCACACAAACTAAAGAACGTGTTTTTTTTTAGGATCCAAGAACGTGTGATATGAATCGCAAAGCAGAGACAGAAATAATTTCCATACTTTTCTCACAAAAAAAGAAGAAATTATTTCCATCCATGCCGGGCTCTCGGTGACAACTCGCCTGGGCAACTCCGCACAAAACATCTAGAGTGTGAAGCAAATCTATACATATACAGCTACATCTTTTTTTTTTGAGAAATATATACAGCTATATCCATCCACTAGATCACTACGCGTCTAATACGCCGAAAGCTTTAATTTAGGCACAAATAGTTTTTAGAATGTTATAAGAACAAAAACATTTACTTTTATCATTATTACAGAAAGAGCAATACATATATGTAGCATGTGATATGTAAATGATTGACAGGCGAGACTTCTGGCAACAAGTTCGCCATCCATCCATCTTGCAGCACGGCCGAGCAGGCGGGACGCAATCGCGACATCGCCAACCACGACAGAGCCCGACTGAGCACCATCCGCCAAAGGTCTTACCCTTCAGCCATGCCTCCGATGGCCATGCCTCCGATCCCTCCGTTCATTTTCCCGCCAAGCCCCACACCAGGTTCAGCACCAGCAAAGGGCATGCCTCCGATGTTACCAGTCATCGCCTTCCCTCCGATGTTCTTTCCGCCAAATCCCGCACCATCAGAGGGGATGCCTCCAGTCCCAGCCGTAGCCTTCCCTCCGATATACTTCCCGCCGGCCCCTGCACCAGCGGAGGGGCCGTCCGTCACCATCCCGGACGTGCCGGGGACCAGCGGCTACAACATAACGGAGTTCATCGTCATAGTTGGCTTCGGCACGCCGCCTCAGCCATCTGCTCTGCTGTTCGACACCGGCAGCGACCTGTCGTGGGTCCAGTGCCAGCCGTGCGCCGCCGGACACTGTTACCAACAACGCGACCCGCTTTTCGACCCGACCAAATCCTCCACCTACGAAGTCGTGCGATGCGGTACGCCAAAGTGCTCGGTGGCCGGTGGCATGTGCAACGGCACCACCTGCCTGTACCGCGTCGGCTATGGCGACGGCTCGTCCACGTCTGGTGCGCTCTCACAGGAGACGCTGACGTTCTCCTCATCGCGTACCTTCTCCAGCTTCCCGTTCGGATGCGGCACCACCAACCTGGGCGACTTTGGCAGCGTCGACGGGCTGCTTGGCCTTGGCCGTGGCCAGCTTTCGCTGGCCTCGCAAACGGCGTCCTCCTACGACGGCACCTTCTCCTACTGCCTGCCGTCTCACAACATGTCGAGGCCCGGGTTCCTCAGCATCGGCGCCGCCCCGGACACCGGCAAGGTCCAGTACACGGCGATGATCAAGAAGCCGGAGTACCCGTCCTTCTACTTCGTGGAGCTCGCGTCCATCAACATCGGTGGCTACGTCCTGCCGGTGCCGCCATCCGTGTTCACCAGCAAGGGCACCCTGCTCGACTCCGGCACCACCCTCACGTACATCCCCTCGAAGGCCTACGCCTTGCTCCGCGACCGCTTCAAGTTCACCATGAAGGGGAATAAGCCGGCGCCGCCCTTCGAAGAACTCGACACCTGCTACGACTTCTCCGGCCAGAGCGCCATCGTCATACCGGGGGTGTCGTTTAACTTCAGCGACGGAGCCGTGTTCGACCTCGACTTCTACGGGATCATGATGTTCCCTGATGAGGTAGCGCAGCCGGCCTACGGGTGCCTCGCGTTCGCGGCGGGCGATGATGATTCCTTCTCCATCATCGGCAACACGCAGCAGCGTTCAGCCGAGGTGATCTACGACGTTGCAGCTGAGAAGATTGGTTTTGTTCCCTTCAGTTGCTGATTTCCTTCCTGGTAGAAAAGAAGTGACCCACGCGTATCGATCGCCACTCTATGTCCTACCGGCTGCATGTGTTAGTATCGTGTACTCCCTCTGTAAACTAATATAAGAGCATTTAGATCATTACTTTAGTATTCTAAATGTTTTTATATTAGTTTACGGAGGGAATACTTTTTATCGATTTCCAACTATGAATAAAGGGGTTGAGGCGGTGGGTGCATATGAAAAAAGTTTGCCTTCACCCAGCTGATTTGAGAACAGTTTCGCTAAGTCTCTGAGACTTCGTTATGTCTCAGTCAATATTATATTCCTTAGATTCTGCATTGAGATCCATATAATTTTTCTTCTTCTTCTTACATACTATTCCCTCTATTTCAAAATAAGGCCCCGTTTGATAGCAAAGTATTTTCTATGTATTTTGAAAATACTACAGTTTTTAGAAATACCATGGTTTTAATTACTGTGAGCTGTTTGGTGAGAACAAAAAACAGTAGTATTAATACCATAGTTTTTCCAATACCATGGTATTTTCTCTGCATATAAAAAAAAACCTCCGACCTTTTTTTAAAAAACAGAGAAGACGAAAGAACGAGCGTTATCTTCAACTCACTCCCAACCCATCATCACCGCCTGTCCTCTTGGTCAGCGGTCATGGACAAATCAAAAAATTAACAAAGGGGGGGAAAATGATTAGTACACTGTCCTTCATTGCTTGCTACTTCCGATTGCCGCTGCTTCCGATTTTTCCTACTGAAGTCATCTCATCCCAATCTGTGTTCCCTACATTTCCAGATCCTCATCTAGCGAAGGTGTGTAGGGATTTGATTTTGTTTTTACTATGTATGCTGGACTTGCCAGGTCAAGATGGACTGATCATGTTCTTGCTGCACGTGATGGCATGTGTGGTAATCGACAACCAACTCCTTTTTATCAGTGTAATATGGAGCTTGTGTATGGTGTGTTCATATTGGTTGTTCGGCTAGTGCATGGTCGTACTAGTTTGTGCATGGCCGTACATCAGCTTGGAACTTCTAGCTAGCTAGCAATGAGCGTGTTTGTAACTGCAGCGTATAAACCTTTTGCCAAACAGGTCCACAGTATTCTTAATACTTCAAAATTCGCTGTGATGTCAAAACTATGATATTTTATACCTACTTGTTAAATTACTGTAGTTTTCCAATACTTTAGTTTTTCAATACTTCGCTATCAAACACAGCCTAAGTGTCTCAAGCTTAGTACAACTTTGTACTAACTCTAGTACAAAGTTGAGACGCTTATTTTGGGACGGAGGGAGTATGTCACTTGACTGAAACTTGTTTAATTCTTAGTCGACTGAGACCTAGCTACACCCATTTGAGAAGAATTCTCCGTCGCCCTCACAACCAACCATGTCTCCTGTCCTATCATGCAAGAGTTGTGTAGTATTTATTTGTCTATAGATGGCCCTATTTTGTACTTAAGCACGCCCATGGCCTCACATAAAACTTATATACTCAAACCTCGTTGTTCGCATTGATATGAAAAACGTTTGCATTCACCCAACTGATTTGAGAAGAATTCTCGGTCGCCCCCACAACCGGCCATGTCTCCCGTCCTATCATGCATCTTGTTCCAAGAGTTACGTAAGTATTTATTCGTCTAAATGACCCTATTTTGCACTTAAGTGCATCCATGGCCCTGTGAAAAATTTATATGCTCGTCTCTTCCCCCTTGAGAAACGACTATCCACTAGGCGCGTTCTCTACGTAAGACAGGCCAACCGGCTTGCCGTCTTTGACCATCAATGGTCAACGGTCATCGCTCTGCCTGCCGGACACGTCCTTCTGATATCCGCCACAGCGTTGTCACCACTAACATTGTATGCCACAACCTTTTAGTCACAATTGAATCATGTTGTTGCCGTTAACCGTGTCAGGCACACTAGCACCATGTTAGCCCGCCTGACAATCACGCACGCGCTAGACCAATGGCCGTGTCACCGATATCTAAAACGACATATGAGAAGACGTGTTTGTTTTGTTTCAGACGCCATACAAGGTGTCGTGACAGTTTTAAGCAATGTGTCAAACAATAAGTCGTCTTCCTTTGCCATTGACCGCACATCTGTAGTGGTATCCCTTCTTTTGAGCAGTGTGACGACCAACAGAAACCGTCAAAACAACATTTCTTTTTTCTTGCAGAACACCGCTCTTGATTGGGCTTTGATCCCCTCGCATCGAACCTCTCTTGTGCCGTCATTTATTAGGGTTTAAAACTTTGGTTTTTGTTATATTGTTTAGCCTTCACTATAATTTGCATCCACAAGGGGTGTAGGACTACCGACTTGTCAGATCATCGGTGGAACCCCAACTTGTTCATCTATTCTGTGTGTTTAGTTTATTATCTGTAATTTCATATTGCAAGTTACTGTAGTTCTTGCCGATTCTCCGCTTGCTTGCGGACCTCAAACCTCGTTGTTCACATTGATCGTGCCTACTGCACATCGAAGATTGGTTTAGCGATTGCAAATGTGTGTCGTCGGGTAGGGTATCGTCAGGTCGTCTAAGTCAAATTCCACCGAATCGATTGCTATCCCCACTCGTCGAAAGTCGGGCTGCCACCACATCAGTGCCACCTTCCTCCCTTCCCGCCGCCGAGCTTGTCTTCCCCGACGAGACGTGGCCATGGAGGGCAAGACCGTTCATGCTTGACGTGGGGTAGGGGGAGTCTTTGGAGGAACTGCATGTGTGCCCCTTGTTCCCGACCGGCGGTTCCACCATGGCACTCTAGTCTGGTCGACCCAAGTGACTTGGCAATGGCCACCATCTCGAAGGCAGGGCCGGGCCTATAGTTGTAAAATGTGTGCAGCCCGCACAGGGCCCCTAAATTTTTGGGGCCCCAAAATTTGTATATAGGCCTAGTAGTTAGAAAAAATTGTCATAGCAGGCCCTGGGCCATTGGGTGCTGGACGCTGCTGCTCGTTTGCTCGATCAATTACCCTAAAGAAAAAAGTCTGCTCGATCGATCTTCCTTAAAAAAAATGCTGCTCGATGCCTCGATCGAGAAGGAAACGGGATCTCGGTCCCAAAGAAAAAAAAGAGATCATGGACTAGATCGATCACAAAACCGTAATAGCAGGTGCGGCGGCGTCGTTACAGGAAACGGGATCGACTCCTTCGCGGCTTCGCCTCATGCCCTCAACCTTCATCGTATCGCCTCATGCCTTCAGCCCTCATCATATCAATCGGCAAGCCGCACGCAATTCACGTCTCTGCAGTTCTTGCCTTCCTCTCTCCTAAGTTCTAGACTCGTCGCCTCGTCGGATCGATCTCGCCTCGTCAGATCGACTGGCGATCGACTCCAAGTGCTTCACGGCTTCAAAACAGGTTCCAACTCCTAATTTCTAATTTCTAATTTCATAAATCCTAATTAACTTTTGACAGGGATCGTTAGAGATCGGTTCTTGCCTCCTTGTTAAACAACACAGTTTAGTATTATGCAAACGGGAGTTGAATAGGTATGATTTTTACATATCCAATTATTTTGTAAGACAGTATATTATATACATTATAACAGCTCATTAGTTCATTTTAGTAAAATAGGGCCCATTCTTTAGTTTCGCACAGGGCCCCGAAATTTACCGGCCCGGCCCTGCTTGAAGGACCTCTTGGGCACACTGCATCCGGACGCTTCCAACTTGGCAATGCACGTCGGGGACATGGCGACAACGTCCACCCAAGACGACGCAAGAGGTGCAGTGGCAAGCAAATATGGCGGTGTCTTCTCTACGGCAACGACAACTACTGCACACAGGGCGGTGCGTTCTCTACACCGTCAACAATGGCCTTCAAGGAGGCGCTACCTGTGCTGCAGCTCAATGACGACGACCGGCGGTTCATGGATCACGAACGCCCCGGAAGGTCGGCGATGCTAACAAGCTGCTCGACACCTGATGGCCTACGCAGTTTGGTGTATCGGTCGATATACAGCACCTGCAAACAAGCAAGATGCCGAGGCAGCATAAAACAGTAACTTAATTATGTAGCTGCTGCATATCCATCAGCTAGCTAGGCGGAGATAACTCCACTCCACACTTACACATCACCTGCGACTCTTCTGAGCCTTATTTCTGAAGACCAACCTTCAATATACTGGTAACATGCATGCGATGCATAGATAGATGAATGCATGCTACGTGCTGCTTTGAGTGGCTTGATCGATCAGCAGCGGTTGTCGACGAACCCGACCTTGCCTCCAATCAGATCGTAGACCACCTCCGTGTACGCCTGAGCCAGCGACCCGATGACGGAGACGCCCGACCCGTACGCCGGCGCCGGCGCGAACGCGAGGCACGCCACCGAGAAGATGTTGTGGGGGTTGCTGAAGTACATCATCTGCTCGATCCCGAGCTCCAGGCTCGCCCCGCCCTCGAAGCTGAGCGTGATGATCGGCACTTCGAGATTGTTCAGTCCGGTGAAGTCGTAGCACGTGTCGAGCTCGCCTGACGACGGCGCCACCTTGTAATTGCTCATCCACGCCCTGAACACCTCGCGCAGGTCCTCGTACACGTAAGGCTTCAGGTAGGTGAAGGTCGTCTGCACCTCGATCAGCGCGTTGCTGGCGAGCGGCTCGGTGGGGATCAGGAGCTCAGTCCCGCCGATGCGCACGCCGGTGAGCCTCAGGAAGTACAGGTTCCGGCGGGGGAATCTGCTGTACAGGGTGGCATAGCTCACGCGGCGGCCGGCGAGCTCCGGCCGGGTGGTGCCCAAGGAGAGGAAGCCCTGGGACTCGGCGCCCCTAGGCAGGCAGTAGGAGAAGGCGACCGTGTCTGGGGACAGACTGACCTGTGAGGCCAGCGAGTAGCGGTTCCTGCTGAGGTCGAGGACTCCCGACGTGCCGTCGGTCGGTACCTCGCTCATCATCTCCAGGCAAAGGAACCTGAAGCCGCGCACGTGGACCGACGGCGCCACCGTGAGGGTGTCCTTCTCCATGGTGGCGTTCAACACGAGGGAGCCGTTGTGTGT